TCAAAAATTTTAAAAATATCGTATCGATGATATTTTTTTATCAAAAAAAAAATGATAATATTTAAAATATCACATAAAAATGTCGATATATTTGATATATTTGATATTTTTTGTGTTAAATGAAAAATTGACCGCCCACAATAAAAAGACAATAAGTTTCTTTTTAAAAACAATAGTATTTTATTATATAATATATATTTTATGACCAGTATGCAGGGTTTAGGGATTTGAATAACACCCTTTGCGTTATGTGTGCGTCAGTCATCCTGCTTCTTGAGTCGCACACAACACATTTGATGGCGGACGCCGTTTTTTATATCCGTATAGTTTGATTTTAGACTCAATTTTTTATTTTGCCCCTGAATTCTTTCAGTCGATGTTGCTTTGGAATTCAGAGTGACCAAGGGCAAAAATATCAAAAAAAATATCGGAATTCCGATATTTGGGCAAATAAAAAATCACGATATAAATATATCATTTTTAGGGAAAAATATCGATATATTGATATTTTGATATATTATCAACAACCCTACTGGCGTTGTCCTTGTGAAACACTACACCCTTCCTGTTGGCCAATTCTGGTCGCTTCTGGTCGATCGCCAGCTTCAAGCGGTCCAGTTAATTAGCGTCTGGCCATAAGGGAGCAGCTCATAGTGTATGATTCCCTTCCAATCACACCAAACACAGAGCAAAACTTTCCTGGCCGTCAATCCCGGCCACGACCACGACCGTTTTGCTTGATATTGTCGTATATGATCCATTTTTCATCGCCATTCACCCTCCGCTTCAAAAATGGGTCGAGTTCATTCCGTTTCAGCAGCATATCGCATGCGTTGATTCTGTACAACAGGTTTTTTTGCGTCAAATCATGCGGATCCCAAACATCCAGCTTTTTTTTGTATCCAGCCTTCTGCAGATGGCTTAAAACGGTTTGGTGACTAACTCCTATCTCCTCGGCGATGTCACGAGATGTCACATGCCGGTCTAGCTCGATGTTTTCCATGATTTGATCGCTATTTGTCCTCCATGTTTACACATGTATAACTTTTAAACGCAATAACCAAACTTTTTATGAATAGCGTCGTTTTGTAGGTCACGACCCTTCAATCGATATATTGCATTGCCCGATACCGAAATGTAGCGCTTTGCACAAAGCCGCAAAATTCCAAACCCCAAAAATGCGGACAGGAGATATTTGACAACCTGATATCAGAGCCCTTACGAATTATATTGCGCAAAGGTCAGAAGTTTTAGTGGGAAGCTCCACAACCTAAAGCATTTGACGAATTCAAGAAATGCCCTATTTCAAATCCAGTCCTGAGTACTGATACAACGTGAAGAGGATCAGCTGAAACCAATTGCTTGTCGAGCGACTTCAAAACCGGAGAAAATTTACCACAGTTATGAGTTAGAGCGATTCAAGTACTACATTTATGCCAAAAATTTTAAAGTTATCACAGACTGTAATGCCTTGAAATCGTCAATGGAAAACCGAAGGCTTATTCCCCGAATAGCAAGATGGTGGTTAGGAATCCAAGAATTTGACAAAGATATTGTTCATCAAGACGGAACACAAATGACGCGTTAAGTCGCGCTCCCTGTGAGGATGCGCGTAAGATGGAAACAGCGTGCCTAAAGATATCAAAAAGATCGGCTCTTTCGTAAATATGACAACAAGTTGTTATGGGTTGTACCAAAGCAGTTACGATAATATGATCTATACGAATGCCACGATAAGTCTGGACACATGAGCACAGTCAAAACAATTAATCGTATCCTTAATTTGTTTTGGTTTCCTCGAATGCGCAACTTCGTTAAGAGCTACATAAAGTCATGTGTGGGTTGTGCGCTTTATAAAATACCAGGCGGACGTCAGGAAGGTCAGTATCATTACGATGTCATTAATCCTGTCCCTTTTTCAACTATACACATGCATCATCTGGGACCCTTTCCAAAGAGTTCCAAGCGAGATGAACATATTCTTGTAATTGTCGACGAGTTTACTAAGTTCACCATAGTACGCGCCGTTAAAAGTACAGCAACTAAACAAGTCCTTGATATCCTACCAGCTACATAGGATTACCAGATTGAATCATTACTGATCGTGGAAAAGCATTCACTTCTAAGGATTTTGAAAAGTACTGTAAATCAAATCATGTAAAACATGCTGTCAGAACACCGAGAGCGAATGGTCATGCAGAGCGAACGAATCGAATCATTTTGTCAATGTTATTGCCTTCAAATGAAAACGAGAAGCGTTGGGATGAAAACATCCAATCAATATAGTGGAGCATCAATACCATGCTAAAAAGTACTACTAAATGCTCCCCATTTCAACTCCTGTATGAATATAGCGCCGAGATATTCCGAAGAACATCTTAACGAACGCGATCCAAGGCCAGGATTTGAAGATGCAAACGGATGCAAAATTGGAAAAGCTCCGAGCAGAAACATTCAGCGATCATCGAGCTGCTGCCAAAAAACGCTACGATTCCAGACGTTCTAAGCCAACCATGTACAGCCTTGGTGATTTTGTGTTGGTCGAGAATGAGCCATTTAGTACAGGTACATCACGCAAATTGGAGCCTCGCTATAAAGGTCCTTAATCGTCAAGGAGGTTCTGCCAAACGACCGATAACTTTTAGAATATATCCCACATGCACAGCAAACGCAAAGGCACTATTAATCGGTGTACTCGTCCGACAAAATTAAGCGCCGGTGCGAACAGCCACGAGACGACTCAGATGAAGATGACTTAGAGGACATATCACATCCCGAATCTCGCGAGGACGTTGCGAACTGTCAGGAAAGGCCGACTGTGAACTGTTGTTAATTTAGCAACGGTGTTGAGGCCGTGTTCTACGAAAACGGTCATATATAAATATCGATATAACCCAAGCCAGTGGAACATTGTGGAAGCCGAGCAGCAGACGGCGTGTAGAGCAAAAATCAATTTCCCAAATAAACCTACTTATACTACCCTTCACAGGTAGGGGGACGTGTTTTCAATACCCCTGAGTTTCCAATTAGAAAGCCTTAAACAGCCCGAAAATAAACAAAGTGAACACGTGATCCCCAAGGAGGCGGTACGACCAGGGTGGGTCTGTGCGTTGAGTACACCATATTTTAGCGTTTAGATCAGTTAAAACTGGTGCCCACCGAGGGTAGAGGGAGAGGGGTCACCAAGACTCTGTTTTCTCCCGCTCTCTTCCCACTGGGAAAACAAAAACAAAGTTTTCCCGCGGGCGATCTGCGCGTTTCCCTTTTTGGCAACTGGACAAACAGCTGATCACCGAAGTGCTGGAAAGCGCTCAAACCACAGCCAGAATCGGAAACAGAAACCAGCCGCTACTATCAGCTAAAAAATTGCATAATTCTAGGCCGAGCTCAACCAGTAGATATTCAACTCGTAGCAGACAGCTTGAGCAGACAGCTTGAAAGGGTCGAAGCGTGAGTTCAAAAGGCCGATCTTCTACACTAGTCTAGATAGGGAATTAGGGGCAGCAAGTCAAGGATCCGACAAATCCAACCCCCCGCTTAGGCGGTGCCCCAGCAAACGGGGCTCTGGGGACCGAAAAGGGGCGGTATAACCCCCATCGTTAGAAAGTCTAGGAGAAATCTGAGACCAGCGAGGGAACCCCTGTCGCGACGGTGAAAGACCAATGGACCAGGCAAACCCCTTCGCAAAAGCACAGCGATGGCCAGATCGCCAAGGCAGGCCAGCATAAGGTTGAACAGCAGCCAAAACAAGAGGCATACGTCCCTGGAGGACATTATTGCGAAAATAGGCCCGCCGTGAATGGCCTCCCTTCTGTTTAAGGACCACAGGGTCGTCAAACAGCCGATGCGCGATCTCCTAACAAGCTGGTAGAGCTGCAAAAAGGCAGTGGCCTCCATCAAGCAGGAGGAAGCCACAGGAAAGGAGGCAGGAAAGGCCACGCAAACCACACCGAGAGCCGAACAGCAGACAACTGTGGAAAAAAAGGATAGTAGCGACACCAAAAGGGCAAGGGCCAGCAACAGGCCAAAAATGACGCCACCAATGAAAGGGTACATCGGGAACGGATACAGAGAAGCGACACGAAGATTTCCAGCAAGTAGCCGACAGAAACCCTAAGGAAATCAAAGGCAGCTCAGGGCCAGACCAGACGCCATCGTGGTTGCAAGAGTCGGGGAGATTACCTACGCGGAACTTCCAAGGCCGTTAAAGGAGACTCCACGTTAAAACACGTCAGTGGGGACGTACAGACCATCCGAAGACGGCCAAGGAGATCTTTGCTGCAGCTGAAGAAGTCTCCAGACCACAGCGCGGAGGAGGTTAAAAGGCAGTCGGAAACGCCTCGGGGTTAAAGCAGTTGTAAGGGCCCTGACCGAGCAAACCAGACTTCAGGTCAGGACTTGGACGAAGTCACAACCAAGGAGGAGATAGTGGAGGCTCTAAACAGTAAGCTAGGCGATACCCCTCTTCGGAGGAGGCCGTAAAGTCGCTAAGAGCCACCAGAAACGGCCTGCAGATAGCCACACTAATGTGCCAACACCCACAGAACAAGCTGGTAAACTTGGGAAAATAAGGATTGATGGGTGATCTGCCGGATTAAACCCATTTTTCGCCAAAACGCTCTATAGTGTCTAGCGTTCGGCCATATCTCGTCGAACTGCACGGAAAAAACGGATTTGCGCGGAGCATGTTTCAAGTGTGGTGGAAAAGACCACGAGGCCAGAAGCTGCAATAGGGACCCACATTGCCTACTCTGCGCGCAGAAAAGAGATCCCCAACAAACCACGCGTCTGGGAGCTTTAAATGCCCAGCGATGTCGAGGCGGTAAAACTCAACAAAGATGCTAAGGGTCATGCAGCAAACCTCAACCACTGCAGGGTGGCCCAGGACCTTCTCACCCAAACAATTGAGCCAAAATAGACCTGGCAATTCGGCGAACCCATAAAGCAATTAGATCCAACACGTGGGTCACGGATCAATTGGGAAAAGCAGCAATCTGGACATGTGGGCAACCGGCCCAACATCTAGCAGGCGTGAAAGCATCAAAGGCTACGTAAGGGCGAAGCTAAAAGACCTTTGGATTTTTAGCTGCTACTTTCCACCCAGCTGGACACTAGAGGAGTTTAGCGAGACGATAGACAGCCTGGCAATCGACATAAGAGCACACTCGCCTGCGATTGTTGCCGGGGACTTCAATGCGTGGTCAACGGAGTGGGAGTCAGCCTCAACAAACGCCAGAGGAAGAGTGGTCACTGAGACGTTCGCATCGCTGGACGTTATCCTACAAAACAGGGGTTCACCCCTACATTTAGGAGAGCGGGAGCGCAGTCCATAATCGACCTCACCTACTTAAGCGCAAGCTTGGCGGCGACGGCGACCTGGGAAATTAGCGAGACCTACACGGCGAGCGACCATAGTGCAATTATAAGCACCATCCGCATGAGAAGAACCGCCACACCGACAATTACTCGAGGACACTACAAAGAAAATACGCTCGACATACCATCATTTAGAGCGGCCCTGGAAGGGATGGAATTAGCGGAAAACGAACGGGCATTGATGGCAAAGGTCAAGGAAGCCTGCGACGCCAGCAGCAGCGCAGTAAAAGCTTCAAGGGGCGCAAGCCAGTCTACTGGTGGAACCAAGCGATTGAGGAGGCACGCCGCGAATGCATAAGCGCAAGGAGAGCCTACCATAGGGCCCGCGGAACCGAAGCCTTCCATATACTCAGGGAAGTTTTCACCCAAAGAGGAAGATCCTAAAGCGGAAAATAAAAAGCAGCAAAAGGCGGTGCTTCCTGCAACTCTGCGATGAAGCAGAAAACGACCTGTGGGGAAAGGCCTACAAGGTGGTAATGAAAAAACCAACGCCGTTAAAAACGTGACCCCAACAGGCTCCGAGAAACTGGGAGAGATTATAAGGCACCTTTTCCCAGCGCAGGAAACGAGGCAAGCGGAAGCGTTTGGTGTCCCGGACCACCAGATACCACCGGTTACCCTACAGGAGCTGGTCAACATAGCCCAGAAGGTACCAAACAACAAGGCACCAGGGCCAGATGGGATCCCAAATCGGGCACTCAAACTTGCCATCAGCATGTACCCGAGCACCTTGCCAGTGCATACACTAAGTGCCTGGCCCAAGCCTGCTTCCCAGAACGGTGGAAACAGCAAAAGCTGGTGCTTATTCCAAAGCCAGGAAAAGACAAGGATGAACCGTCGGCTTATAGGCCCATTTGCCTTCTAGACACGGCCGGCAAAATATTGGAAAGTATTGTCAGTGCAAGACTCGGAGAGGCAATAGAGGCTGCCGGAGGGCTCTCAGAAAGACAGTATGGCTTTAGAAAGGCTCGCTCGACCCTAGATGCACTAGAAGCCGTGGACCGCATAGCCAGGCAGGCCATAGAAGGCAAAAGGTGGCTGGGAGGAAACAAACAATACTGTTTGGTGGCAACTCTGGACATCAAAAACGCCTTCAACTCGGCATCCTGGAGCAGAATAATGGCCTCACTCGGGATGCTGAACATCCCAAAGTACTTGCAGGCGATCGTTAGCGACTACCTGAGCGACAGGTGGCTCCACTATGACACGGACGAAGGACCTCAACGCTACAAAATCACAGGAGGGTGCCACAAGGGTCCGTCTTAGGCCCATTATTGTGGAACACTATGTACGATGGTATCCTGCGACTAAACTTCCAGCAGGGCGTAAACGTTGTTGGCTTCGCGGACGACGTCGCGGTCATAGTGGTCAAAAAGTCCAAGCTGAGGTAGAAAGCCTACAAACGCAGCAATCAGTATGATAAGTGAGTGGCTACAAATCGTAGGACTTGAACTGGCTGAGCAGAAAACCGAGGCGGTACTCATCAGCAGCAGGAAAAAAAGTGGAAACGGCACGAATCACTGTGGGCGGAGCCCAAGTGGAACGAAAAGGGCTATAAAATACCTAGGTGTCATGCTGGACACCAGGCTGTCCTACAGGGAGCACCTGCAGGCGACTCATAAGAGGGCCACGGAGTCACGATGGCAGTGTCCCGAATGATGCTTAACCATAGAGGCCCAAAATCCACGAGCAGGAAGCTACTGTTTAACGTAGCAAAGTCGTCCATCATGTATGCAGCACCAATATGGGCCGAGGCGACAACAAAAAGAGCTACATAAAGGGTATAGAGTCGGACTACAGAATAGGAGCTCTTAGGGTAGCCTCCGCCTTCCGCACGGTCGCTACAGAGGCCATTCTGGTCATCAGTGGTATAACACCAGTCGAGCTCGCAGTTGTTGAGGCCAAGGAGAACTTTGAAGCGAGAAAATTAGCTGACACACAGGCGGACCACCGCTTGGCAAAACTAAGGTCAAGAACAAAGTCCCTTGAAAACTGGCAGCAACTCATCCCCAATATAGCGGCTTGGGTAAACAGACCACACGGCGAACTAACGTTCCATCTGACACAGGTGCTGAGCGGGCATGGATGCTTTAAGGAGTATTTACATCGCTTCGGACACGAGACAAGCCAAATCTGCGATACCTGCGGAACAGTGGAAAATGCCGAACACGCACTAACCACATGTGTCAGGTTCGGAGAAGAGCGCCGAAGAGCTGAACAAATCCTGGGGACCCCTATCACAGTGGAGGGACTTGTTCCTAGTATGCTGGAGAGTCAGGATAACTGGACAGCTGTATGCAGTCTGGCTGCGGAAGTCACGACGGAACTGAGGCGGTTGGAACGCATAAGGAACGAGAGGTCCTAAACAGGCCAGCCAGCCTTGCGAAGCAATGCTTCACGGCAGTCCCGCAAGTCTGGATATCATATGTATATTTATTAATTTTGTCTATATATGTAATTTATGAATAAAAAAAAAAAAAAAATACTACCCTTCACACACGTAAATTTATAAAATTGGTTAAAATGCGAGAAGTTTTTCCAGCCAAAAGCGAAAAGTGTAATACTACCACCGCCTTTTTCTTGATAACAAAGTAAGTATTTAAATTGTTTTTTTTTCTGAACGCACAACATTTCAAGAATTTTGGATTAAAATTTTAGAATGATTAAAACTTACCTGGGGAAATTTGTCCTTTAAATAATGCAATTTGAATTTTTCAATTTAAACCACCTTTTTTTTAAGGTGCCGCTGGAGATCGCCTATATCTCACACACTTTTCAATATTTTGGATAAAAACATTCACACATATTGTTTAATTGTTTTTTTTTTACTCTCATTTCGACTACATTTTTTCCCTTCAAGAATGCACTTTTTATGAATACAAATGTGATTATAAAATATGTTTAAGTTGCAGACACTTAAATACCATTTGGATTTATAAACCTGTATTAAAAAATTAGTATAAATTAATTAATAAAAATATTTGCATTTAACAGGGATTAAATTTCTTTTGCTTTTTGTTTACTTGTTTTTAAAGGTTTTTATTCACAAATATTACAAAACAATTTTTAAATACATCTGAAAATATATACTAATGTGGATGTTAAATAACTTAATTTTCTTTATGTCTCCAACATAGAAGTTGTTGTGCTTGCAGTTATTTGGTTTGATCAATTGTTTTAAGGTTTTGCTTGTAAGGTGTGAGAACTATTTATCCACCGTAAAGTGATTTATACATCTAAAAACTAGGTTTACTACAGATTCAGATTCGTCGAAGCACTCTCCTCTGCGTTGTGTATATTCTTTATAATTATGGCGGTGACAGCAATACTGCTTCCGTTAGGACTTATGTTTACGTTTTCGAAATTCACACCTCTGTTTGAAAAGGAACTCCTGCTTCTTAAATGTTAGGACTCGACTCGATCGCAACTTTGATTTGTGTGTTGTATTAAGCCTTAAGGTGAGTTTCTGTCCAAAGTAGCACCAATTACGCAGCCTGAAGAAACATATCTTCCTAATATCGATTTAACAATAGATACGGGTAGTGCATGAACGATTTCATCTCGTTGGCAACCTTGACACAAGCGTCACAGCAGAATTTCAGACTGGGCCCTTGGAAAGGACATCTCTTGTTCAGCTAGTAAACCCAGCCATGTTAGACTGGACAGCCCTAATGTTGCATTTTTTGCACAAACAGACCAAATTATTGTTACTCATTTTACTTATTTGAACCAATGTACTAAGAAAACGATATTGAAATTTATAAGCGAGCAGTTAAAAGTACCGCAAGAGTGCAGATACTGCACGCCTTTCGAAACAAAGAGAGCGAGAGCGTAATTTAGTTAAAGTGCATGCAAAAGCAACACTAAAAGCAGCAGTACGACTTACCACGAGATACAAAATTAAAAGTTCTGTTAGTTTTTAGTTTGTGCACAAAGTTAGTACAAAGTTGGTACAACAATTGCTGTCACAGACCCGACGCCGTTATTGTCTGTAGGCAATTTGTTCATTGTGAAATTCAACAGAAATCTGCGAATGTGTGCAAATAAAGGACGCCAAGTTTACGTATGTATTAGTACGTGTAGTCACAGAACCCGTTGCGCATTAAGTGTTGGTTTGCAAGTCTGTTCGAAAATTGTCTCAGGAAGCGGAGAGCGTATTTTGGTGACCAAAGACGGCTATGAACAGGGGCATAGCTAGCCGCCAGGGCGAATAACACACCCCCAACCTGTCGCTAAAAAGTCCTAATCCACTAAATGAGACAATACAATTTAAGAAGCAAAAAGATGAGTTCCTCCGATAAGCAAGATTCTGTTGAAATTGGAATTGGAAAATTTGGACGACACCATACTAGAAAGTATAGATCAAGTTGCAGGAGTGGATGTACATAACAAAATTGTACATCAGGGTATGAATGATATCGCACAACAGAAGATAGGTAAGAGCGACAACTCCGAAATTGTGCAGATCTCCAAACAGACATAAAAAGTATTAAACATGATATTCGAAATGCACATTTAGGAATACAGAGTAATCAACGTGACATTAAGTCTCTATCTGATCGACAATTAAGGCAGTTTGAATGCGTACGCGATACGCAATACGATGAGAGTAAACATAGAACGGGTAAAGAAAACAATACTGACTCCAACGGATGCCATGATCAACTTTTGTACGCGAATATTCAAAGTCCTCAGGGATCCACCGTAGTCCTTCATGATCTACCTAAGTTTTCTGGAAATACTGAAGAATGGCCGCTGTTTAAAAGAAGTTTCGATGACTCAACAACTCTTTTTCAGTACAAAAATTTGCAGAATCTGTTACGTTTAAGAAAATGCTTGGTGGAGAAACCAAAGGAACAGTGGCATCCCTACTTATATATTCCGACAACACACGAGATATCATGGAAGAACTGGAATTCAGATTGCTAATTCGCGCTCAACTAACAATTCGAGAATTCCAGAAGGTGCCAGGCTTATGAACAGATTGTAACTTTCTTAACGAATGTTCGTAGAGTGGTTAATTTTTTATCAGCGTCCAACCACAACGAGCACTTACATAACCCAATCCTATTATAAGAACTTCTAACAAAACTTCCCACTCATTTGCAGATGGAATGGCTCAAGAGAGCAGAGAGTAATGCCGTGGGTGCTTCTATCGACGAATTTTCCTCTTGGTTGAGCTCTACTGCAAGAATAGTTGGTCTATTACCAGCACTGGTGGATACTTCAGGAAGACAATTACTTACACGCAACTCTAAGCCAGTATTTATCGCGAATACACACACAGTCTCAGTCTGCATTTTGTGCAAAGAAGAGCATAATTTGGACTCATGCAAAATTTGGAATGAACAAACTGATGTCAAATCGCGATGGGACATTGTGAAAGAGAACCGTTTATGCTTCGCATGCCTTAAAAATGGGCATAGGGTTGCAGAAACAAGCGACTTTGCGCAATTTAAGGTTGCCATCATTCACATCATGTCAGTCTGCACAATTTTACACACCCGGAACTTCCTCAACCGACGGATTCGAAGCCTTTATTCAATTGCCATCCCAACTCTGCAGACGTACTTCCATACCTTTTTAAAATCATCCCAGTTAATTTGTATGGACCAAATGAAAAAAATGGAAACATTCACCATGTTTGACGACGGAAGTGCAGTAATCTTGTTGGAGGAAGTTATCGCAGATCAATTGGGCTTAAAAGGTAAACAATTTCCATTAACTTTACAGTGGTATGATAACAAAAAGAGTGTTGAAATGTCTAAAAAAGTAAGACTTAAAGATCTAAAAGGCGTACAAACTATAAAGAATCTAGATTTACCACTACAGTCCTTTTCAAGGTATCAATATGAACCTACCAATCCTTGATTATACCCACGTCAAGCCTGATTTGCTAATAGGGCCAACTTAGGATTGCCGCAAAATATTGTAAGCAAATAAACTACACAGCCAGTAGCAATTAACACAAAGCTGGGATGGTTAGCTTATGGCCCAGGCTAGCAATTGTCAAAAGAACGCAATGTAGAGATATTTCACGTACATTTCGTGGAAACAGAGACCAAATGGCAGGATGTAGTTACCGAGTTCGTGGAATCTGAAAATTTTGGATTGAATAATTGGCCTCCAATAGAATCCGTTGATGATATCAGAGCAAAAAAGCACTTGACCGAAAAAATCAATTCGATTTGGAAAACATTTTGAAATAGGATTACCATGGAAGGAAAACGTAACTATGACTAATAGTTACGATAGTTAGATGGCTG